ACACAGTGAGACTCTGTCTCAAAAAAAAAAAAAATATTTGGGGAAAGAGATGAGGAAATGGCAGTTCTGCTGATCTTGGTGTGCTACTCAGAGCTGGGTTCTACCAGGGACTCTGTGATCTAGAGAAGAGAAGGCATTAAATATAAATTTGGTGGGAAGAGTGGGTAGGGGTGGGGGTGTGTGTATGTGTGTGGGTGGGTGGGTGAGTGCATGTCTGTGTGTGGTGGAGAGAGATGGACACAAGAAGGAGAACGTGAAAAAAGGTTTGAAAACAGAGCAGACATTGCCATCTTGAAATTAAATCAGAATTAGGGCATTCAGGTGGCACCATGACCCAGGTTTCCTCCACAGATAGGAGTTAGTCCTGTGAGGCAAATAGTTGTTGCTAGTTTGCATTTTGATCCAGAAATAACCTTTTCATTTTCCAGAATTCTCAGTGAAAATCATTTGACTGAATTACGTAAAGATTCATTTGAAGGCCTGCTATCCCTCCGGTATTTGTAAGTTAGCTAGTTAATCATATTTATTTATGAGCTTTTAGTGATACTATCTACAAAATGAATAAGAGATTCAAATTAGACAATCTCTAAAATTTCTTCCAGCAATAAAATTCTGCAGTTCTCTAAATCTGTGCAGGGTTTTAGCCCATCTGTAGCATTAGATACTTCCTATGCATTTTCAGTTTTTTAAATCATATAGACAAGGTGCAGATACAAAGGAACTTCACTTATAGGGAAAAAGTGTAATAAGATCTCAGCAATTATTGACAACCACATGAAACTTGTTTTATAAGTGTTCATATACCATCTGCTTATATTTACATTTAGTCTACAACCCATAGATCAAATCTAATCCACAGTCTGTTTTTATATACAGCCCATAAGTAAAGAACGGTTTACACTTTTAGTGGGATGTAAAAAAAAAGAAAAGAAAAGAATAGAAATAAGAATATACAACAGAGTCCGTATGTGGTCCATGAAGCCTAAAATATTCACTCTCTAGCCTTCAGAAAAAGATCTGAAAAGTTGGTTTAGTAGAATGAGAGGAATTCAAGTTAACCTCAAGTCGTTGCCTAAAGGAAAGGAAAATATAGACCATCTACACTAGTTTGAATGCCATTAATCCAGAATGTTTTGATAATTTAAT